AGACCTGGCAGCACTGTCCGACTCTTACCCTGGCTCTCTCCGGCTTCTCTACGCTTCGCCCAAGAACTCCTGCTCGATAACCTGCCTATACGCATTAAGAAATGCATGTGTGTCACTGCACATTGTCATTCCAGTTCTTTCGGATGGCCAGATGGCATGAAGGCGCGCACTCTGGCACACGATTTTCACCAGGCATCTTTAAGCACTACCCGTGCACTCAGAATACCCGAAAAAAGCGACAGGCTGCAGTGGGATCTTTCTTTCACGTCGGCCTGCTATGACTGCTGACTCGATGTGCCAGAGTCTACAAACTGAAAACGATCAAGCTTCTATCACCGCTCATACTGGATATGGCCCAACTTCTGGCGCTGTCGAAACGATCACACTTTCACGAGCAAACCTCATTCAGGGATGCGAATCCGGCGGTGTCACATTGCAGTGCTGGCAGGAAGGCACATCTAATGCCCCTGCAAGCCTCGGATAACAGGTCAAGCAAGCCACATTCGAATGAAGGGAAGGCTTCGATAACATCGTGCGCCATGAGAGCACTCCAGCAACGAGAAAGGGCAGTTGCTCGGAGCATCCTGAAAGACCTAAACCCTGCCAATGGATACCACCCCGAAATAGCACAGCAAAGGTCACACAAAAAGAGAGAGAGCCTTGAGACGCAACATGAATGGGCGGCCTACGTTGCGAAGTGGCAACTCCACCCAAGCTGACCCAACTTGATAAGAGCATGCTCCAATATGCAAGACCTGCCGATATCTGTCCATTGATCGAGGTGTTTTTCCTCCAGTGCCCAGCGACCCGAATTACCACACCTTCAAGAACTTGCAGAACCTGTCATACTACTCATTGTCAGCCAATACTGCCAACGATGTTTCATCTTAACTCAGGCCAGACTAAGCCAGCTGCTCGAAGTCGCGACTCGCAGCTTTAACCCAGCTTGACGGTGTTCTCATCCAAAAACGAATGCCTCGGAACGGACAACTACCAGCAGAAAGAAGCCGTACGAGTGCGCGTGGTTTATTTGCCCAACCACCCTTTAGATAGCCCAACCCCATGGCACAAGAGGCAGCCCAACATGTGAACAAGATAGCCCAGAAGCAAAACCCCTATGGCACAGACTGCCCGAAACATGCGACTTTCAAAAAAAAACTCAGCCCTACTAGGGGGTTTGCTACGCGGAGGTGGCTTGAAACTCTGAAAAACAGCAGGTTTCGTAGAAGCTTCCCCCATGGCACAGCGACAAATCACGACATAGATCAAAACATGCGACAATCGCAAGAAAACTCACTACTACTTTCGCAAGAAAACTCACTACTACTTGGGGATTGCTAAGCCGGGCTAGCGTGAAACTCTGAAAGAAAGGCTTGCTCTGCGGAAGCTTCCCCCATGGCACAGCGAGAAATCATAACATCGACCATGGTTCAGGGAGGGCCCCCTAAACCCTAAATCCGAAACCGATGCATGCACGCCTTTTGACTGGCTTGTTTGGAACGAAGGCGGGCCCCCAAAAATGGTGGATACCCCAACGATACCCTTTCTGATTACAGATTCTGCCCAGCAAGACCAAGGCCCACGTGCCCCCTCACGACACTTGTGGGGAAACCTCGTTTAGGGATCAGGATTTCGAGTTTAGGCGCCCCCAGGCAGACAAATGATAGGTATTCAGCTTGCGCTATGCAGAGGCTAGGGAGGGCCCGTCGCTGTCGTCGTCGTCAACGTTGCTTTGGTTGTTCTTCTCCGTCCGCCGTTGAAAGCACACACCCCCACGCGAAACCCGTCGAATGGACCCCCCAAACGTAACAAGCCCCGAGCCCCCTCGAACGCACTCCCCCAAGTACGGCCACCCGCACAAGCGAAACACAGCGTGTTTAGCAGACGATAACATCTACACCTTAATCGCCAGCGTGCCTTGGCGTTTCATGCGTTTCGTGTTCCAAACACAGTTTACACAACCCTAGGTTGCTAAACACAAGATGCTGAATCTTGCAGGTTTCCCCATGGCACAGAGCGATTGGGTTATCTTCTGGGCCTGCGGGACAATAAACCACTCCGACCCAGTAACAACCAACAGGGATCCAACTAAAAACTCCCGTTAATGCCCTTCGCTTCTCGCCGCATGATAGAGCCGCTTCAATGCACCTTTCAACATGAGATCTCTACGCCGCTGAGCCGGTCGACCTTACGACACGCCTGCATAAACCCTTTTCTAGAGGCTGTTTCAATCCCATCCGTGTAGACTAGTGATGAATATTGGCAAGCCCGTGCTAGCGGTCTAGACTGTGCAAGGGCCGATCAGTCACTACGAGTACCCATAATCTACGTATTCGAAGTCCCACGAGGGGTAACCTAAGCGCAATGACATACGAAAGAAGACCATGGGAGGCTGCATAGCCTCTGTCGACGTCTTCGAAAAGATGTGTCAATAAGCAAGGGGGGAGGCGCAGCCTTGGCGTAGCCCCGCGTTTGTTGCGATATGCGAAAGGTATTTTTACTATCCCGAGCAACAAAGGTAGGATTCTGATGAAGAGAATCTACAGCTTTCCGCAAAGGAGACTACTCCGCCTCCGAAGAAGAGCGGATAGCCGAGAACGTTGCAGAATCGAAAGCTTGGCACATCCAAAAAAGTGTGTAAAATGGTGCTCGTGGAAATCCAAGAGGCGACAGAGAATATGAATGGGTTGAGCAACAAATCTATGAGCACGAGACCCTAATTGGGTTTTAATTGGGTTTTCGGATTCGATGATGGAAATGATGAGAAAGATTCGCTTCGCATTAGTAAGAGCAACAGGCTTGATTATTCAGACTTGTCGTATCTATTTCCATCTTTTGGATAAGTTTTAACAAGCATGACAACTTATGTGTGCAGGCAAGTGGATGGAGCCTCACCAGCAGGTAAACAATGGTTATAGTGATCGAGTAGAAACAGACGAGGGAGCTACGGGGTTCCCTCTATGAGCTCCGCTATTGCATCTGTCCCCGGACCAATCCTTTTTGAGGGCACGGCACACTATGTTCAGTTTTTGCATGGTAAAAGGGTCACTGGCATCAAGGATATTACCTAAGGAGGGCGTGGAAGGATAAGGTTCGGGAGAAGGTGCTTCCCATACTTGAGTGGCCAGGTAATCTGCAGACGGAGCTGCTCTTCGCTGGCGGGGAAGAAGCGTTCGTTTAGTAGTTGTGAGGTTGTGCCACTGCTCTATGGCTGAACCATGGAAATCGTCTTGCAAATGTTGCAAAATGACTTGTGCTTTTATCTCTGCGGCCGAGCTCTTTGATGTGATTACACTTGCACCGTCCTCCTCTTCGGTGAGTTCAATCTCTCCATGGGTGTGTGGGCAGAGAGCCAGGTTTATTTTAGGGATAAGAAGAGTATGCTTCTGGATGAGATCCATAGAAACATAAGATTTGGGCGTCTGGAGGAAGTGAAAGCCCAGCCCCCAAACTTTTGCGCGCCTTTTTTGGACGGAGAATTCTCAAGATTATTGCCAAGTACACGTGTGTGGCCTGCAACCTTTGCAACTGTCACCATGTGCATGGTAGGAAGGGCTGTGAAAGCCTGTACAATTGCTGGGCGGGAAGGACCACTTGATCAGTTGATGGTGTAGAGTGGGGATAACCAAAAAGGCCCCTTCAATGAGGCGTAAGGCGTATTCCGAATCAGTGTGCAAATTGATAAAGGAGAGTTGAGAGAGATAATGGGTTCAAGAAGTGCTTTGAGTTCGTCTGCATTGTCGGAGCCCCAAACTTCAGGCAGGGCGTGTGCGTCAGTGGGAGCGGAGTGTACTGGGCCAAATGAGGATTTCCACTGGGTTTCTGGGTGCGCTCCATCGGGTCCAGGGAGCTGGAAACAACGAAGGCCCACTCTGCAGATCTCTGCAGTGAACAAGACAGACCGTGCGCCATGATACGTTCGACAGGACATTCAGCATTCTCCTTATCCGGGTCTTCGCGGCCCTGCCTGCGGCCCCACGCGTGTGGGCCAATGCTGGGCGAATCTTCTGCACTTGGAAGCTATTAGTTTATTGCTCTGTCGTCCAATCTATTCTCGTGTATGCGATGGATAGTCTTCTTCTCATACCTGCTCACCTGACCAAAAACAATACAGTGAGCACTATTGTGCACTGTAAGCTGCCCAAGTTGCCCCCATTCCCACACGCTCCTACGAAGAATCGTCTACTTTCCCGTGAACTTAGCCTTACTAGGAATCTCATCCTTCGTAAAATTCTCTCATTTAGTAGGCGACTTCGCGAGGATTCCTGCAAGAGATTCCTCGTATCAAATCTATCTGTGACAAAATCTGTCCCCGTACGGAAGGCTGCAAAACTGTCTGTCAAACATCTGCAAGGCATCTGCCGAGGAGAGTTGGAAATTGGAAAAGCTTTGAAACAAATGATTCTCATGCTGTTTCCAGATCCTTTAACACATGACGAGACACATGTGGCTGTTGTCAACAACTTGAAACTGCTCCAGACAATACAATCGACCAGAGCAAAGTCCACAAACTCCGGCAAGCCCCGTGCGGTGGCACTTCCAGATTCTTTGGTGCCGGGCCCTGCCAAGATTTGCCAGTCAGCGACAGACAAGTTGAAGATAAAAAGCAGCTTATCAAGCACCAACCTCGTCAAATTGTCGCCAAAGCACAGACAGCAGACTAAAAAGACTTGAAACAAGCCCGAACCTGTTTCCAGGCAGAGACTGCACCGAAGCCTGACGAATTCGACCGGCGTAGTCGTAGTGGGAGCCGTGGCAGGGACAGAAGTAGCCACCTTTGCCGAAGCTCAGCTGCAGCTCTCATGCTCCGTTCTATTGCACGAGCATTCTGTTGCTCCTACATCTGCAATTCTGAAACCACGATCCTTGAATTCTAGAACATTCTAGAACACTGTAGCAAGAAAGTGTCGTGCTCAAAGGACTCAAAGGCGAGCGCGAGTCGTCTGGTGACAATTGCACTGCAACCAAGTTCACCACCATACTTGCCAGCATCGGGCTGGGGGATGCAGCCCAAGTGTGTGCACACCTTGAAGGGAATGCGGGCTTGGGATGCCCGATCAGACATAATTGACCGGCTGACTCTGTGCACAGAGAAAGTCCCTGCGACATGATTGGCAAAATCTGGACACGCTCCTTAGGCTGCGGCACCAATGCAAATCAACCACTCCGGCCTGCGCCCACTGTCGATTTCTCTGTGTTAAAGCCTGTTGAGAACTGGGACGTGATCAGATTTGTGCACCTTGACAATTAACAAGCCTTATTCTGTGCGAGCAGATAATGGAGATCGACTTTCTGCAGTTCGCCTCTTGCATCGCTCGGCATCCGTGGCTGGCTCCCGCATGGAGGGTGCGACGATATCATCCTCGCAAAGTTCAGGCAACCCGTCTGAAAGTCACCGCGCAAAGTGCATTTGAGAAGGATGCGCGTTTGGGCAACCCAATGCAATCAGTTCAGTCTCATGCACCTTCTTGGCGGATGTGATTTGATCCGGGGTGCGCTTGCGGATGAAGACCGGCTTCTCGCGCCACTTGACCTTCAGAATTCCGAGAAATGCTTACAGAGCAGCTCTTGAGTATATTGAGGCCGAGGAAGCCGCTGTGAAGTTCTGCCCC